CCCCCTTCCCCCCTCTCTCCATCCATCCCTCCTTTCCTGGCCTCCACATGCGTCGTCTCCACTCACTGTGTCTTCTCTTCCAGGAGAGCACACAGCTGCTACAAGTGCCGCCAGTGCAGCTTCACGGCCGGCGACACTCAGGCACTACTGGAGCACTTCAACACTGTCCACTGCCAGGAACAGGATGTCACTACAGCCAATGGCGAGGAAGACGGGCACGCCATCTCCGCCATCAAGGAGGAGCCCAAGATTGACCTCAAGGTCTACAGTCTGCTCAACCCAGACGCAAAAATGGGAGAGCCTGCGTGCGAGAGCGCGGTGAAGAGGGAGAAGCTGGAGGAGAAGGAGGGGCTCAAAGAGAAGGTCTGGACCGAGAGCTCCCCCGAAGAGCTGCGGGGCGTGGCCTGGCGGGGGGCCGACGTCCTGCGGGGGAGCCCGTCGTACACGCAGGCGGGCCTGGGCCTCCTGGCGCCTGTGTCCAGCACCCAGGAGCCGACGAAGACCCTGCGGGACAGCCCCAGCGTGGAAGCTGCCCACCTGGCGCGACCCATTTATGGCTTGGCCGTGGAGACCAAGGGGTTCCTGCAGGGGGTGCCAGCCGGCAGCGAGAAGGCGGGAACCCTGTCCCAGCAGTACCCTGCATCAGGAGAAAGCAAGGCCAAGGATGAATCGCAGTCCCTGTTACGGGTAGGAAGGTTTAATTTTTCAATAATTCCTATATTCTGAAAGGCAGGCAGGGGGATTGCACACACGCTGCACACGCAGTGTAGTTTCGTATGGGGAGACGTGAAAGAAGCCGTGTCAGGTGTATCGGTTTGCACACATGAGGGTGAAGGGGCGGCAAGTAGCTCGCGTGTGCAGGGGCGTAGGCACACAGCCGGGGTGCGCACAGGCCGGGGCTCGCTTGCAGCTGCTCTCACCTCAGGTCAAATGCTGGTTAATCGTTCCTGGGGATTACGCAGAACAGCAGAGCTGCCTTTGGCAAAAGGAGATTGGCAATCCCAAAGGGCCGCACATGCCTTACATTAAAACCAAAAGGACTCACATTTTAAGGTGGCGTGACACAGTATATGATTAATAAGGAGGTTTACAGAAATCTCTGAGAACGTAAGCCCCTGGGGAAGACGCAGAGGCTGTGGTCTTGTTAGGAAGTCCTTATTATAGATGCGCGCGAAGAGCAGCGCTTGCTGTTTATTTGCTGAGAAGAGTAAGAAAGACAAGAAAAGCACGAATACCGAGGGCACGAAGACTGTCCTCAGAAGAATAGTACGCGTTTGGTGCTATCAAGACCTCTTGGGGCAAAGGAAGTATCCCAGGTAGAAAAGTAGAACAAAGCCCCCTAGTAAAATAACATCCTGTATCTCTTTTCTCCGTGCTATGTAGCCACAACTCTGTCAGCAAATAATTTCAGTTTTGAAAATTCCCAACTTCTCAGTAAGTAGTACTTGGCTTTGTCTAAGGCACCCCAATTACAGCCTTTCATGTTCAGGCCAAGGACGTTTTCTGCTTGGTGAGGACTGGGAAGCTTTGTTCAGGCTTCCAGAGCAGGAGGGAATGGGCCGACCTGTACACGGCGTGCAGTTAGGAAGCAGAGTCAGGCAGCCCAGGGCCTTGGCCTGCGCTCGGCAGCCCCTGCTGTCAGGCTGCGCTCGGCTGCTTTCCCTCCTTCCTGGCAGGTTCTCCGAAGGCCACCCATGCTACTCAGGTGTCCCACGGTGGAGTAGAGGGGCACTGTAAGCGATAGAAGCTGTTTCTGCCTGAGGCCATACCCTAAAGCCAGGAGAAGGTTGGGGTGGCTCCTGTAAGGAAGGAGCAGAGAAGGAGCAAATTTATTACTAGTAACGGGAGAAATAGGAGAAATAGTTCTTGTGCCTTTTAAGAGGGGCTCCGGTGCAGTGAGCATAGCTTGCCTCTACCCTTTTGGTCTCAGGAGATCCTGGCTTGTCGTCGTGGTAAGGCCCAGATGAGACAGAGCTCTGTTAACTTCACTTCCGGCTGTAAGGAATACTGTCTCCCGTTGGTTCCCCCACTCTTTGTCTGGGGGGCATGGCCCCGACACCTTCCAGTGGCAGCCCTGAAGCATGCCTCCATTCACCTACTTAGATGGCCTCATCTGTGGTTTTGATGCCAGATTGCTTGACTGTTTCTCTTTTCGGCTTCCCTGTTTGTCTTTCACCTTTTGCATGCCTCAAGAACTTGAAATCCTACCACAAGACAGTGATGTGAAAACCTGCGAGATGTTGGGACCTTACCTGGGGAGGCTGACAGCGATGACACTTGTTCTTTTCGATTCTTCTACTTCTGCAGTTCCTGGTCTTGGAGCGTCTGTTGTACCATTTCAGCTGTCTGTTCGCTTCCTCCCTGGTAGCTGCTGAAGGAGGAAGTTTTCAGCATGAGTCTCCCTACCACACACCCTGGGACTTACAGTCTTGAAGGGCACTGTCTTCCACATTCAGAGTGAAATAGAAGTGTACGCCTTTTTATACACGCTCAGAATCAGTCTTACATGATTCTTGTAAACTTCCAGTCTTCAAAATTCATAATTTGTTTTTGTTCAGTACTTTTAAAAACTCACTGGTTTTATTGGCTATTAAGACTAGGAAGAATGGCCAACTTGGTTTATTGTGCAAAATTTAGTTTAATAACTAAATTATATTTTTTTAGTTTTGTGTTTCTTTTTTGATTCTAGGAATTGAACTTGGGGTCTCAGGCTTGCTAGGTAGATGCTGTACCACTGAACTATGTCTTCGGCCCTGGATTTAAAACTTTTGAGGTGTACACATCCTTCCTAAGGTGCTTCTTAACACATCTGAGAAAATTAAGAGGCATTCTGATTGTGAATTTGACACAAATTCTACTTTGGGGGTGGAAATTGTTATTTTTGAGTTATTGTAGCAAAGGCAGTCTTCTGAATCCTCACCTCCTTCTCCAGCAAAACCTAGGGAAGTATCACTGTGGTGTCTACTAATGGCAAAATATTGTAATTTAACTTTGTAGTTGTGAAAGACTAGTTTAGGGATAGTGTCCTGTAATAATTCATAAGTGCAAAATAGAATTATATACATATAGTTTATGTGTTTTAAATAATGTAGTGTGGTCTGTGTAAACAGAGTATTTCTGTTTGATTCAAATAGTAGAAGGGAATTTGAAATAACTCCTTTGCTGGTGGATATGTTTGTTTGGAGACATAGTAGTGAGAAATCTACGAAATGGAAAGTATCAGACCTAAGTAAATTTCATATTAATAAACAGTACATTCAGCCTAACATTAATAAAGTATATTAGTGTTAACTTTATACATAGAATTTCTAATACAAAAAGGAAAATCTTCTTTATCAGTCATTAGATACTGAAATCAAGAATTGTGCAAAAATGCCACTAGAACATGTTGATTTCAGTAGTATAATGCTATGCTCATAAGCAGTGGAGACATTCTTAATGAGTAGTCTGAATGCCATAGAACATAACTTACTATGTTGCATTCAAAATACCGATCTGTCTCCTCTCCCCTCCCCTGCCTTCCCCTCCCTTCCCCTGCCTTCCCCTCCCTTCCCCTCCCTTCCCCTGCCCTCCCCTCCCTTCCCCTCCCTTCCCCTGCCCTCCCCTCCCTTCCCCTGCCCTCCCCTCCCTTCTCTTCCCTTCTTACCTGTACTGAAGAGCGAACTCAGGACCCTTTCACTCTCCAAGCAGGTGCTTATGCCGCTGAGCTATTGTCCCCAGCCTAATACTAGTCTCTCTGATACATTTTTATCTCACTGGATTCATTAGTGACAGTTTGCTATACTTCTGCAAGTGAGGAAGGAAATACAAAAAAATCGTAGGAGCCGAAATTTCAGAATGTTTCCATAATTAGTGCTGCTTTCATTTTGCCTGCGTCAGTGTTCGCCCCTTGTTTTACGTCACACGTGAGCTCTTTCATGGGTGTTTTCATTTAGTGAACGTCTCTATATTTTTCCCTTGTGCTAGTATGAAAGTGATCTTGTTACAAAAAATGTGGAGTTGTGTTTGTCACCTCTGTTGACCACTGTGCTTCCAGTTGGACAAAGAACACAATTGAGAAAGGCTTTATATTTTATTAACCACATTATATAAATTAAGCTTTTCGCTGCATGCTAACTCAATATTTTTATAAAACCTTTACGTATTTTTGAACAAGAAGTAATATTAAAGCCCTTGCGATATTTGCTAGAAATAGTTCAGGCTCTTATGAAAACTTGGGTTTATGTCGTCTTAAAACTTCTCAAACCGAGGTTGTGTTACACATGACCAAAATTTAATACTTTACTTTTCTTTTTTCTTTTTGGTGGTACCAGAGATTGAACTCAGGACCTTGAGTTTGCCAGGCAAGCATTTATTCCACTGAGTTATCTCTCCGGTCCCAAAGTTAATATTAGCTGGATGCTACTAACATTCCAGTATTGACTTTTTTTTTTTTGGTACCACGGATCGAACTCAGGACCTTGTGCTTGCCAGTCAGGCACTTAGGCTACTGAGCTATCTCACTGGCCCCAATACTTTTAAAATGGAGTGTTTTTATTTGGATATGAAATAGGGCTCTATGAAGAAGTTAACATATTTAACTGGACCGAACTGCCTTCATCTTGAGCCCTTTTCTTATTAGTTTCTTCTATACTGTGTATTTATATAAAATATCAATTTTTAAGTAAACTCATACCCTGTGTAACTTTATTTTATTTTATTTTTGGCAGAACCGGGGATTGAACTCAGGCCCTTGCACTTGCCAGGCAAGCGTTTATTCTACTGAGCCATCTCCCCGGCCCCTACTGTTTTTATTATTACTGGATAATAAGTTTAGTAGATTTTATTCTTGTAGTGGAATTTTTCAGTTGGATTTTATAACAGAAAGTTGAGTTGTTCATCTAATTAAAAAGAAAACAAACATGAACAGAGACAAAATAATTGGTCATCAAATTTCACCCAAGTTTTGTAAGTATCCCATGAAATTTTCATCTGTTCATAAAATGTCTTCCAGTTTAGTTTAAGAGTAAATTGATAGGAGGAATTTATGGTCAGTCAGCATTCCAGTGAAGTGGCCTGCGCCACTTGTCCAAGCATTGTCCTCACTAGGCTCAGATTCTTCCTGAGGTGCCAACCCTTTGGTGAGTGGGCAGCTGTTTTCCTTGTACGTGGAGGAAAAATCAACCTTTTGAAATTGGTTGTGGTCTCTTGTATACATGTATCTATAGGACTTTGTCGGTTTTGACTGCTACGCTTTGCACTGCTTGGTTTGAGCCTCAGCCCTGTGGGAATTCTTTCTAAGAGTGGCCTGGGGCCCAGAGCTCACCCAGTGACTGTCCAAGAGAGGCTGCCCAGGCACTCTGTCCCTCTGTCTCCTACTGAGGATGCCACTGCAGCCATCAGAACGGAGCACACTGCAGCTCTGTTAATTAATGCTTATCGGGCACTGGAGATCCTCGATGCTCAGAGCTAGATAAGCCAAAGAAGCCAGGCTATCTGTTCATTTGGTAAGTGTGATACCCAGAGGGTACAATGCAGGTGTTATTTGCAGCTTTCTTTAGCAGGCGTTAAATTTATCGTTTAAAGATTGTTGATACTGGGCAGTGTATTGAGATGCAAAAATGTTCTTTGGGGCTAGTCCATTGGCAGCAAAACGACATTCAGACAACAAGAGCGTTGAAGCCTTTACAGCCGCAGAGGGCCACAGG